TTTGAAAAAGACACAGAGGGGTGAGTAACTTCAGAACACACTGGCGGGTCCGGGAAATTCAACTTATGTACTGACTTCTGCACAGCATCCACTCCACCATCAGCACAGCACTGCTAACACTCGCTTGAACTTTTCAGATCAACTGATCTCACAGTGTTTTACCTAAAATACAAGAATGGCTAACAAGTGACTTCCAATTCTAATTTCCTCTTTGATTGTTTCCACTAAGAAAACACTTAGTCCATCAAATAATTTAGGCATGAGCATTATTTGCCCAGGAGCCTTAAATAGTACTCTTTCCCTTTAATTGTCTGGCTTTTTTGGAACACTGCAAATGCAGCCACAAGATTAGAGGATAATCTTCCATAGACTGGCTTGACCCATTTGGATAACGAATCCTCATAGTACCTGCTGCGTCACCAGTGATAAGCCCCCATAAGGAATGATTTGTGGTGTAGTGTGCTTAGTTTCATCGGCAATTCGGCAACTTTTATTTGAAAAGTTATTTTTCATTGGGAAGGATTTATAAGAAATGAGGCAGGCCGGCGCTGCGGCTCACTAGGCTAATCCTCCGCCTGCGGCGCCGGCACACCAGGTTCTAGTCCCGGTCGGGGCGCCAGATTCTGTCCCGGTTGCCCCTCTTCCAGGCCAGCTCTCTGCTGTGGCCAGGGAGTGCAGTGGAGGATGGCCCAAGTACTTGGGCCCTGCACCCCATGGGAGACCAGGATAAGTACCTGGCTCCTGCCATAGGATCAGTGCGGTGTGGTGCACCGGCTGCAGCGCGCTGGCCACGGCGGCCATTGGAGGGTGAACCAATGGCAAAGGAAGACCTTTCTCTCTGCCTCTCTCACTGTCCACTCTGCCTGTCCAAAAAAAAAAAAAAAAAGAAAAAGAAAGAAATGAGGCAGATCCACAAGGACTAATGGTTAAACTCCCGCAAAATGAAGAGAATAAAGTTAGCTGAAGAACTATCTATCTACATTGCATAATAAGCTACCATATATTAAAGTATTACATTCACAGGAGACAGAAAAACGCCCTGATGAATGGCATACATATCAATTTCAAAATAGTTGCTGCCTCTGGGGAAAACTGGGTACCCTGATTTTCTGTCTGGAGGGAAAGGTGTTAAGATAGCCTAAGACTCATACATCCGTAACATCTGATATCTTAAAAGGACAAGATTTTCATGTATTACTGCCATAAATGAAATGTGACTTTTATAAAAGAAAAAGAGGGGGCTGGCCCTATGGCTTAGTGGGTAAAACCGCCACCTGCAGCACCAGCATCCCATAAGGATGCCAGTTCAAGCCCCAGGTGCTCTACTTCCAATCCAGCTCTCTGCTAATGCACCTAGGGAAGCCAGACCAAGTGCTTGGGCCTCTGCACCCACATGGGAGAACTCGGAAGAAGCTCTGTGTGGTCATCTGGGGAATGAACCAGAGGATGGAAGATCTCTGTCTCTGTCTCTCTCTCTCTCTGTGACTTTGACTTTCAAATAAATAAATAAATCCTTAAAAAGAAAAGAATACTTTGTTAATATTTTTAGTAAAGTAACAATGCCTAGCGGACCCTTAAGCAGCCTGGCTCTCCTGGTTTCCTTCTGGAAAATGGCACTGCACTCCAACAATACCACTTACCTTTCCCTGCTTCTCTGCCTGCTCCTTTCCCCACTTCAACTGCCCTGATAACCATGAATTTGATTTCTTTAAGAAAACAGAAATCAAGCAGGCGTTTTGGTGCAGTGGGTTAATCTGCTGCCTGCAGTGCTGGGATTCTATTTGGGCACTGGTTCGAGTCCTGGCTGCTCCACTTCTGATGCAGCTCCCTGCTAGCTGCCTGGGAAAGCAGAGGAAGATGGCCCAAGTACTTGGGCTCCTACACTCACACAGGAGACCCACAGGGGGCTCCTGGCTCCTGGTTTCACAGCCATCTGGGGAATGAACCAGCAGGTGGAAGAGCTCTCTCTCTGCCTCTCCCTGCGACTCTGCCTTTCAAATAAATCTTTAAAAAAAAAAAAAAAAACAGAAATAAAGAAAACAAAAGCCATCAGAAGGAAGTTCCTCAGCTTTCCCTCTAGAAGACCACCCTTCTTCCCTCCTGTCTCAGGGAAGAAGCCTCGCATCACCCAGCAGCATTCCCTACTTTCCCCTGCCTGCCATTAAAGACAACCACTGTGGGGCCTCTGCACTCTGGTGATACTCCTCCTACCATTCTCTTTGCCCTTTCTTCCTCTACCTGCCTTTCAAATAAATAAATCTTTTTAAAAATGTAAAGAGGAACACATTATACCTCTTAAAAGCCTTCCATGACCTCCCTCTGTACCTACACTAAATCCCAAACTCCTTACTTTTGTCCACACGCCCTGATTGATCAGGCCTCACTCACCTCTGCAACCCAGTCTCCTTCCACTGTCCTCTCTCTACCTTTCCCAGCCCTGCTGGCTTTCTTTTAGACCCTTACCCACACAAAGCTTTGTCTTCCTGCTTTAGGACCTCTGCATATGCTGTTCTCTCTGCCTGGAATGCTATTCCCACTCCCACTCTTCAAATGGCTGCTCCTTCTCACCCATCAGGCATGAGTATAAAAGTCAACAACTCATCTAAGTGGGCTCCTTCCTATTTCTTTTTATAAGCATAAACATTTCCAATCTTACAACCACTTCACAATCATATTTTATTGTCTAATTTCCCCACCAGACTGAAAGCTGGTGGGGATCTGAGCTGTTTCACTCACTACTGAAGTCAATGACTAGCACTTAACAAATACTCGGTATTTTCCAAAGTTGCTCCATTAGGAAATTTTGTAAAATTTTAACCATGAAATACAAAATATTGCTTTGCCCATGTCATCATTACCCACATAGCAGGACCTATAAACTGATATCTCCAAACTAGATTCAAGCACCATACCTAAGTGCCCAAACAAGGTCAAAGAATCACGTAAGGGTATATGTATACAGGAGGGGGTTATGGTGCATGGAAGTGATGGGGTAGACTGGCTTTGGCAAAACAAAAGGACTAACAGAAGCTTATTGTGATAGTTCTGGTGGGTATGGTATCTGCATTTACATGTTATATTTGACAAAACTGAAACAAATTAACCCTGAAAATTTGAGATAGAGACTCTAACCAATCTGAAGGCAAATATCTGACTCCTACACTCTCTTCCCTGTCTTTTCAGCACTTTTTCCTCCAGCCCCAGAACTTTCTGCCCTGTGGGACTTTCTGTGGTAGCTTATCAAGGTTTACTTCTGGGATCTGTCAGGTACGATGGCCTCAGAACAGTGTCAAACTCATAAGACTTAGTTTTCTTTTTTGGGTAGGTCCCCATCCTTTTGAAACTAGCTCATTGTACAAACTAATCTCTCCTAAGGTAATATTAGTTTGTAGTATACATTTTAGCTTAACAGGCCCTCTGGAAGTGTAATTACCACTACAGATAAATGACTGACTCCCCTACCACAGCAGCCAAATCACACTGTCATCTTAGGGCAAGTTGTTCAAATGGCAGTCCCATGGGCAGTTGTTTTAATTTGGGGTGGGTGCTTGGCACAGTGGTTAAGATACTGCTTGCATCCTGTATCAGAGTGCCTAGGTTCAAGTCCTGACTCCGCTTCCAATTCTAGCTCCCTGCTAATACATGACCTGAGAGGCAGCAGGTGATGGTTCTGATAGTACTTATGTACCTGCTATCCACGTGAGAGATCCAAATGGAGTTCCCAATTACCAGTATCAACCTGGCCCAGCCATATCTACTGCAGGCTTTTGGGGGACCAACATACGAAGGATCCCTCTTTGTCTCTGTCTCTAGCTCTCTGCCTTTTAAATAAATAAATTGAAAAAATTAAATAACTATTATTTATATAAATTGTGCTTTCAATAAAACATACATTATCTTATTTGGATCTTATATTAGCTAGGTCAGCTGGGAAAGAGAGACAATTATTCTTTTTGTTCAGAGAAAGAAACTGAGATTTTAAGGAAGTTATGTGCTAACATCACCCAGCACATGGCAGAGAATGGATTCGACTTCAGGATTCCAAATTCTTTTCCTCCATTCAAAGATTTTTTTCCTCCATCACTGTGCCTCCTTTGTTGCCCACTGAAAATTGTGTGAGGGGTGGGGGTGGGGGGAGCTTTATTACAGCAAAGCTGGTCCTCGGATGCTTCCCCTGGTTCATGTTCAGGGTCTCCAGCTGCCTTACTTAGGGATAACCATGAGTTGTTACCCTGTTGGAGAGATATTGGCCATACAAAATGCTGCTACAAAATTTTTCATTAATAGCTTTAGAGTACAGATAACAATTCCAAAACATGCAGTTATTTATTTCTACTAGACCCAGGCCATGACAGTTAGCTTATGAGACGCTTTGGACAAATTAAAGAACGCTGAACCTGGTGGACTTGCGAGCAGGACACATGTGGCTCTGAAAACTGATCAACGAATAGGCTGTTTCCTCCCACCCTGAGGAGTCATTTGGGAAGCACTGGAATCTCAGTAATTTGCTTCTCTGGCTATTTATCTGTACGTGTGTCGATTTACCCACCATCTTGATGTTTTAAACACCCGTCAGGTAACACTAAAGTACAATTGATAGCACAGCTGATGCACCTGTTTCTTCAGGGATTATCCACCAAGGGATAGATTAATTTTCCTCGTTAAGTAAACAAAAAAACGCGAATACTGGCTGTTCATTCCCAACAGATACTTAAAGAGTAGGGAATAAAATTCTGTACTTTGAACTGTCTAGAAAATGGAGTGACATGAATGCCCTCCAAGAAATTTTTATAGTAATCTCTTCGGTGAAAATTAAAAGGCCTTCCCACGCCTCCGTGTCGAGTATTTTCTGTGGGGGCAGAGAAAGAGGTGGGCCGGGGACCGGGTCGGGAGGATCTGCACGCGGCACCGCGTCTCCCAGCCGGAAATCAGCCTGGCGGGGACCGGGACCAGCCCTTAGCCCGCGCCCAGTCCCATCCCCGGTCGTGCCCCCGCTGTACCGCCACTCGCTCAGGCCGCACAACTTTGTAGTCGTCTTCATCCTCCGAGGCCGCCGCCGCTGCCGTCAGGGAAGTGAAGGGGTCTTCGCGTTCGTACTGGGCGACCCGCGCTCCGGTGTTGGGATTTACCGGGAGTTGGAGACTGGCGGCCGCCAGCCTGGCCTCTCGGTGTGAGGCGGCCATCACCCGCCTCCGAGGCCGGAGCGCCAGCGCTGGCCCGGGGCGGGTAAGCTGGCGCGGCCCGGGAGACCCGGCGGCTCCTCGCTTACAGCCGGCGGTTACTAGGGGCGCGGTAACTAGGGACGCTACAGGGGCTGCGAGGGATCAAAAGACTAAAAAGCTTCTCGGGCTGCCTGGGACCCGAGTCCGTCACTCAACTGGAGAATGGGAGTCAGAACTAAATCTGTTTGCTGGATTAGAAGATTGCGGACGGAAAAGGGCACCTCTTCCCCTCCGGTCACCTAAACGCAGACTTCTGACACTATCATAACACACCCGTTTTGTGAAGACAAGAGCGCATTTTTATTAACTGGAATACCAGGTTGGGAGGGGATGATGGCGGAGGAGAGTAGCATCTTATTGTGAAGTGACCTCAGAAGAATGTCAAGATTTGTATCCCAATACCAAACATGGCTGCCTCAGAGCAAGAGAAGGGGAAGGATTGACCTGAGCAGGAATCAGCCAATCAGAAGGAGGCTGCTAGGTGACTCTCGCGCGATTTTTTTGACCTGACCAATAAAAAGCCCAGGGTAGGGTGGCGCCTGGCCCGCCCACCAATGACGATACCCGTACAGAACGCGATGCTCGCTTTGGAGTCGCAGGCCTATGAGTGGCGGGGACTGAGGGCGCCAGTGTCCGACGCGCCATAGACACACCTTCATTCCACCTCACCCCCGCCACCTTCCCACTGGGCACTGGGGCGCCTCCACTGGCTCCTTCCCTTCACCACGTGGCTGCAAGAGGCCAAGCCAGAGTGTCACATGCTGCCTCAGCCCCTCCTTGGTGAGACCAAGGCCGCCGCCCCTTTCCTCGCCCTATCATTTGGATTCCTTCGCCCCTGGCCAAGTCTGCACTATTTCCCGTTCTGTTAAGGGCCTTTGTCACTCCAAAGTGTGGTCCCGCTTTCTGGCGAGTTCTAAGAAACACCGGGAGGAGCTGTCACACAAAGCAACTTATCTGGGGGCCTTCTCCGAGGCTCAATATGTTAATCCTCCGCCTGCGGCCAGGGGCGCCGGTTCTAGTTCCAGCTGCTGCTCTTCCAGTCCAGCTCTCTGCTGTGGCCTGGGAAGGCAGTGGAGGATGGCCCAGGTGCGTGCGTCCCTGCAGCCGCAAGAGAGACCCGGAAGAGGCTCCTGGCTTCGGATGGGCGCGGCTCCGGCCACTGCGGCCATTTGGGGGGTGAACCAACAGATGGAAGACCTTTCTGTCTCTACTCTAACTCTACCTCTCAAATAAATGAATAAAATCTTAAACAAAACAAAGTAACTTACCTGCAGCAAATGAGGAAACCACGAAGAATCATTTCCAAAGTCTAACTCCACAAGCAGGTAACTTTTATTTAGGGGGAAATGATTATTTAAGAGGGGAAGTTTTTATTTACTTTTTAAAAGTTTTTTAAAAATTTATTTGAAAGCCAAAGTTAGAGAGAGGAAGACAAAGACAGATCTTCGTCCGCAGGTTCAATGGCCCAAATGGCCACATTGGCTAGGGCTGCACCACGCCTAAACCAGCAATCTGGAATGCCATCTCCGTCTCCCCTGTTGTTTTTTAGGATTCATGTATTTATTTGAAAGGCAGTTAGAGAAGGAGAGATTGATCTTCCATCTGCTAGTTTACACCCCAAATGGCCATAACCGCCAAGGTAAGACCAAAGCCAGGAGCCTCTTCTGGGTCTCCCACGTAGGCCAGCTGCTTTCCCAGGTGGAGTGGAAGTGGAGCAGCTGGGACACTAATCGGCACCCATATGGGGTGCTAGTGCCACAGGCAGAGACTTAACCTATGTCACAGTGCCGGCCCGTTCATTGTCTTGATACAGGATATGCAGACAGCTAGAGCTGGCTAAGCTGGCAATCAAGTTCCCGTATAATTCTTTCTGGTCCTACTTATCAATCAAAATGCCCCGCTTCCCAGGATGCATCTGTTTCATCCAGGACTAAGGGAGTTCTGTGGAACTGGATACTGAGCTCTCTGTGGAGCTTGTAGATGGCTTCATGCCTGGAGACACCACCCCCAATCTCACAAGAGACCAACATAGGGAAGGAATTCTCCCTACTCCACTGTAGACTACAACTGAGGGGCTGCCTGGTGCTGTTTTCCCTCCCCCACCCCTTCTCCTTTCAGGCTATCCTCTGGCCCACTGCTCACTGTTTATAGATATTTCTGTGTGCTGTGTGGAGCAACCTATGCTCATGAGTGTGCCTTCTTTACCTTTTAAATACTTAACACTGCATAACTTTTATGTGTCAACACTTAGAATCTCTGTACATGACAAGAACCTGAGTGAAATTAACACTCCTTTCCCACATCACTTGTGACCAACTGCCACCAAAGCAGCCTCCCTAGAGGACATCCAGATCTCTTGAGAAACTCAGGTTATCTCCTTCAACAGATCCTCTAAGGCGTGGCATAGGGGGTTAAGCTACTGTTTGTGAGGCCGGCATCCCATATTGGAGTGCCTATTTTAATCTCTGTCACTCTGCTTACTATTCAGCTCTCTGCTAATGTGCCTGGGATAATGGCCCAAGTGCTTGCACTCCCTTCGAACCCACGAAGACAAGACTGGGTTCCTAGCTCCTGACTTCATTTTTTTTTTTTTTTTTTAAATTTTTTGACAAGCAGCGTGGACAGAGAGAGACAGAGAGAAAGGTCTTCCTTTGCCATTGGTTCATCCTCCAATGGCCGCTGCGGCCAGCGCGCTGCGGCCAGCGCACTGTGCTGATCCGATGGCAGGAGCCAGGTACTTCTCCTGGTCTCCCATGGGGTGCAGGGCCCAAGGACTTGGGCCATCCTCCACTGCACTCCCAGGCCATAGCAGAGAGCTGGCCGGGAAGAGGGGCAACCAGGACAGAATCCGGCGTGCCGACTGGGACTAGAACCCAGTATGCTGGCGCCACAAGGCAGAGGATTAGCCTAGTGAGCCACGGCACCAGCCCTCTGACTTCACTTTGGCCCAGCCTTGGCTGTTGTGGCCACTTGGTGAGTGAACCAATGGACAAATCTGCTTTTCTCTCCCTTCCTCCCTCTGTTCTCCTCTCGTCACTCTGCCTTACAAATAAATAAATACACAAATGTTTTTTAAAAATTCTCTAAGGTAGGGGCCAATGCTGTGGCAAAACAGGTAAAACCACCGCCTGCAGTGCTGGCATCTCATATGGGTTCCAGTCCATGTCCTGGTTGCTTAACTTCCAATCCAGCTCTCTGCTATGGCCTGAGAAAGCAGTGGAAGATGGCCCAAGTGCTTGGCCCCTGCACCTACGTGGGAGACCAAGAAGCAGCTCCTGGCACCTGGTTGGCCCAGCTCTGGTGGTTCTGGACATCTGGGGAATGAACCAGCGTTCACTCTGCCTCTGTTTCGCTGTAACTCTGCCTTTCAAATAAATAAATAAATAATTAAAACACATCAACCATAACATCCAGCAATTTCCACAAGCAAAATTTAACCACTCCCCAACACCCTAGCAGCCAATCACACAAGAAAGTTGTTTTTTGCCTCTCCAGGGAAAACTTCACATAGTGACAAAAATAAAAAGCTGAGAAAACAGTCCTCTGCACCAGCACCCAAATGCAAGTTACCTCAATCAAAAGCAGGTAGAAAGTGACACACTGGCAGCACTAGTTTGTGTGTGGCACAACATGGCCAACCTATGTTGTGGTGCAGGTTAAACTGCCACTTGCCAACACTGGCCACCCCTATCAAGAGTGCTGGTTTAAGTCCCAGTTGCTCCACTTCCAACCTAGCTCCCTGGGAACACTCATGGGAAGGCAGTAGAGAACAATTGGCCCTTGCCATCCTGTGGAAAACCAGCCATCTGCAGAGAGAAGCAGATGATGGAAGATCTTTCTCTGATGCTCTACCTTTCAGATAGTCTTAAAAAAAAGCAAATGCAAAACCTAGCTTGCTCCTTGTTCTTAAGTGATGATGGGAAATGACTGAAGGGTTCTATGTGAAAATGAAGACAAGACAGGATTTCCCAGAGTGCCTTTCCATCACCAAGAAAGTACCAGAAAGGGGGGCCAGCACTCTGGCATAGCCAGGAAAGCCACCTGCAACACCAACATCCCAGGTGTGTGCCAGTTTAAGTCCTGTGCTCCATGTCTCAGCTCCCTAGTGTGCCTAGGAAAGCAGCTAAAGATGGCCCAAGACCTTGGGCTCCTGCACCCACATGGGAAATCCAGAAGGAGCTCCAAGCTCCTGGCTTTCAATCAGCCCAACTCTGGCCATTGTGGCCAATTTGGGGAGTGAACCAGTGGATGGAAGATCTCTCTCCCTGACCTTTTTTTAAAAATTAAAAAATAATTTTTTTTCACAGGCAGGCAGTGAGAGACAGACAGAAAGATCTTCCTTTTTCCATTGGTTCACCCCAAGTGGCCGCTACAGCCGGCACGTTGCGCTGATCCGAAGCCAGGAGCCAGGTGCTTCTTCCTGGTCTCCCAGGCGGGTGCATCTACTGCACTCTCGGGCCACAGAAGATAGCTGGACTGGAAGAGGAACAACCGGGACAGAATCCAGCGCCCCGACAGGGACTAGAACCCGGGGGTGCCGGTGCCGCAGGTGGAGGATTAGCCTAGTGAGCCGTGGTGCCGGCTTCCCTTTCAAATGACACTGTACTGCATGAAAATGACCCCATTCTTAGAAAAAATAAATCTGAGCACTTAAGTCCACATCTTTCAAATTATTTAAAAGTGAATAGTTAAGTAACGCTTATTTTGAAAATCATGAATTCGCTATTGGTGAAGTTGAGTAAAATACTAATTTCACATTTGCTTGTGTGATTTCCTCAGGAAGAAATCCGTCAATGATATACCAGGTTGAACTGAGCTGCCAAAAACACAAAAAGCAAACCACATACTACTTAACAGGTGTTTATCAATCCACTGCCATAAAAACATCCCCCATAGCTGGCATTCCACCGCTTTACAACAGCCTGGGTTGGGCTAGGAGCCTGAAACTCATTCCCAGCCCTCACCTGTTAACTTCCAGGGTGTATAATAGCAAAAGCCAGAATTGGGAGATCTGGGACTCAAACCCAGATACTACAATACAGAATGGTGTTCCTAACTGGTGTCTGCTGTATGAAAACATACACCCTTGTGTATCCAAAGCTTTTAAAAAGAGTGCCTGGGCATTGTGGCATAGCAATAAAGCCATTGTCTGCCATGTCAGCATTCCATATGGGCACCAGTTTGTGTCATGGCTGTCCCACTTCTAATCTAGGTCCACGGTAATCTGGAAAAAGCAGCAAGAAGATCCAGTGTCTGGACCCACGTCACCCACAAAGGAGAGCTAATTGAAGCTCTTGGCTTTGGCCTGGCCCACCCCCACCTATTGTAGCCATCTGGGGCGTGAACTAGTACATAGATCTTTCTCTAACATTTAAAATGAATAAATAAAACATAAAACACCACCCCCCCCAAAGCCACATTTGTGCCTGACAAGTTCAAAAGGATCACTAGTGGGGCTGGTGCTGTGGTATAGCTGGTAAAGCCACTGCCTACAGTGCAGGCATCCTGTATGGGTGCTGGTTCGAGTGGCCGCTCCACTCCCAATCCAGCTCTCTGCTGTGGCCTAGAAAGGCAAAAGACGGCCCAATTCCTTGGGCCCCTGCACCCGCATAGGAGAACTGGAAGAAGCTCCTGACTCCCGGTTCCAGGTCGACGTAGCTCCGGCCACTATGGCCACGTGGGGAGTGAACCAGCAGACGGAAGACCTCTCTCTCTGCCTCTCTGTAACTCTGCCTTTTGAATAAATACATAAATATCTCTTCTAAAAAAATCACTAGCTAAAACGTGCAGATAAAATGTGAAAGTGACTAAAGCGAGATAGACTAACTAGGAGATGATGAACTATTCACTTGAGATCCAATGCTGCCTGGGATCAGAGCAGTGGCAATCAAGGTGTTTAAAAAGGAGCTGGCATTACAGTAATAGGCTGAGTGCTGCCTGCAACTCTGGCATCCCACGTGGGCACTGGTGCTAGTTCTGGGTGTTCCATTTCCTATCCATCTCCCAGCTAATGCTCCTGGGAAAGCAGCAAAGATGGCCCAAGTCTTTGGGCCTCTACAACCATGTGGAAGACCAGAATGAAGCTCCCGGCTATAGCCTGGCCCAGTCCTGGCAGTTGCGGCCATTTGGGGAGTGAACTAGCAGATGGAATCTCTCTCTCCCACTCTAAGTCTGCCCATTAAATAAATAAAGTCTTTAAGAAAAAAAATGTTTTAAGAAAACACAA